ATTTTTAACGTTTGTCCACTGACACAGAAATGATCAGTCTATAATACTTTCCCCCCTCACTGTATATTACATTATACTGTTCATTATATCTTGATGCTTTTGTTAACAGATTCATGGTGTCTAATATAACATCTTGAAAATGTACATTATACTTTGATGATGAAGTTAGTTAAGGTTAGAGAGACATTTGAGTTTGGTTGATCTCAGGGTTAGGAAAGCTTGAAGGGACACTGTGTGCATCAATAAGGTTCTAATGATTTTTTATTTTATACAAGATCAAATCTTTGTTTTTTGCTAAAATAAAAAATGAATGTTTCGCAGAATTCTGAACGAGAAGGCTTCCTCTTTAGCCACACTCCCTCTCTACAGAAAAAAAAGACTTCTTTATAAAAAAAATAAATACAGAGCCTATCTGCTGACAGCACCGAGTGATTTGTGGACACAGGCTTATGGTACAGAATTAAATGCATCACATTTATTTTGGTGCCCAGAGTATCTATTAAAGATGAGGGTTAGGGTTAAGAAGGCTTACAGAGTTGGTCACTAAAGTATGAATGGCCCTGTAACGAACAGGGGAAAATCAACTACCAAAATACAAATATTGTTGACCCCATACAACATTTTTTTTGCAAAACAGGCTCAGAGTGAGCTTAAATTTGGTCCAGAGTTACAGGACAGTTGCAAAGAAAAGCCCTTCATCATCAACATGTAGCTTGTAAATTACTGGAGAGTGGACCGCATGTGAGAGCACTGTTAATATAATATCTAATTGTCCTCTACCAGCCCAAACCTAAAATAATGATATTTTTTATTTGGAGGTTGGGTAGAGGCTTGGGTACCCATTGTCATCAGGGTCAGACAATTGACTTTAACTTTTGGTGTGGATAATGGCATGTCCAACCACTTTTGACATTAATACTTCCTACCCAAAACCCATGGGTGGAAGGTCGACAGTAGCATGTCCACCTCCCCTTATTGTTAATTAAGCCCATTGATAAGTTGATAGAGGAGTTGGACAGTAGTATGTCCACCTCCTCCTTGTATTAATAACTCCACCCACCACTCAAAGTCCATGGGTGATGAGTTAAGAGGGACATTTTAGTGTTCCCTCAGTTACATTTCATAGCCATCACCCACCATTATGGGAATGGGCTAGGGAGGACAGCGGGATGTCCCTACTAGTTTTTATAATAATATCCCCCACCCACCCCTTGTTGGTGGGGGCTTAGGGGACTTTAGCAGGTTTCACTAAGTTTTACTAATAATAAAGCCCCCACCTACTGGCCATGGGTTGGGGCAGGGGTTAACCAGTGACCTGTCCACTCCCATTATTGAATTCTAAGCACCATGTGTGGGACATGGAAAGCACCTGTGCCAGGTTTCTCCTTCCCTATTGTAACGATTCACCTGGCACCCCGACTGGGCACCTCCATTAACGGATGCTTCCTAGCTGAAGTCGAGGACTATAAGCACCGCACTGCACCGGACCACCACAACCACCGCAGACTCCACAACCGCCGTAGCTTAACTGGAATCTCACAGTCTTCCTTGCACCCTGGATCAACCTCTGACATCCAGGACCGTGTGGGAGAGACCTCTCCTACAGGAGAGTGTAACAGGAACAACTCTTAAAAGAGCTAAGTGATTAGAGCACAGGGGAGTATACAAAGTGTTACGGTTGCCTCCAGGCTGGCTGGAAGTTGGACCGCTTGGATATACTGGTTCCAGAACTTGGAGAGTAAGAGTGTCGCTTTGATCAGCATACAGTATTAATTCCTGGAAATGTAGAACATCCCACTAGCTTTAGCAAAGCTAGGATATACCTTTCCCTACAACACGAGTCGAGGCTGCAAGTTGAGGGTAAAACAAACTGTTTTAATGGGTACACATTCACAGCTTAAATACAAGTTTTCAGGCCAGTGTCACCGCCAATAGGGACAAAGTGCATTTTATGAAACACTCCCCCCTACCCTGGAGATAATTGGTCTCAACGGTTACAGTAACTCAATTATCTCCAGTTACATGAAATTCCCACATTTTATTACATACAAGAAAACAGGATAAAAATACATAACTTTCACATTATAATAATAAAATGACCCATCCGACCCATCTCCAGACAGCTTTGATCTGAGCACACAAAATATATGAATTGCGCTCAGATCTCACGAATGGTGTAGGGAAGCCCTGGGAATGAAGTCTGTCTGTTTGGCTTTCATGTCTTTCTGTCAGAACAGATGGGACAGCCGGCGCCTCAGCGGGATTCGTGCAAACCAGTAGCCGATAATAGTTCCAGGGGTTTTACGATCAAGTCCCGCTGAGCATTCGATGACAAAAGATGGCCGCCGCCTCGTGTTCAGCATACGAACGGCGACCACCTTAGGATAAGTGATTATATTGCGGTTAACCACAGAAACTGCAGTTTAATTGGAGACACACGCCAGACTATAGGCGTGTTCGTATAAACAGTTATAGAAAAGTATCCATGCAATAACAAAAGTAGCAGTATTATAAAAGTATCCATTGCAGTGACAAAAGTAGCGGTCTTGTAGCAGACAGAGGGGGTCTCTATAACACAAAGTATAGCAATCCCCAGTGTGATTATAGCAGTTCCCCTCCAATCACGAGACAAGACTACATGTTGAGGGTCAAACGGGAACTCAGCAGATCTGAGGGTTTATTGAAAAGCTTGGTCTTTTATACAGTTTCCCACACAAGGTTACTACCCAGGTGGACCTTGTGGGGCACAGGGACACAGGAACAACAAGCCAATGAAAACATAGTTTTACATTCAGTCACTCCCATACAGGGTATACAATCCCTCCCCTCTGCCTGTGATATAATTAACGAAGACAATGGACAATTAACTCAATTAACTCTAAGCAGAAAAAAACATAAATTTTTACAAAGTCTGGAAAACACCCCAAAATACAACAAATCCCCTGATAGCCCCGATCTGGGTGAACAACATACCAAAAAATCACCAGATCTGTTCAGGGGTTCAGGAATTTCCTGGAAGTCTTATTTTTGCCCCACCGTGCACATGGTCCCATGCCCAAAACAGTTCCATACACTCGACGACAAAACACTGCTGGACAATTTAAGATGTCCGCCGCCTTATGTTTGAATCTGTTCCAGTTAAAAGTCCAAGGGGCAGAAACAGTACTTTTGAACATGGGTTATCACAGGTCCCATAGTCCCAGGGTAGGAGGCTGGCAAACAGGCCTCTCCAAAAACCATTGGCGGAGTTGCTTTCGTCACACCTATATGTTAACTTTTTCTATTATGGCCCAAACATTGCAGTGTTGGTGTGACTTTATCAAATGTTATTGAATAGAATATGTATTAGGGTGGTCTACACTCTTTGCAATGATTACTCTTTTTTTTTTTTTTTTTCATGCACAGACCGAGAACTGAAACAGATGGACCAGAAACTAGAATCCATGTTCATTAATCTGAATGTTAGTATGAACTCACAGATGGAGCACAATTCTCAAGAAAGTAAGGGTAGTTTCATTATATGTCATACTTCAGTATTCTAAGCTTTAATGTTTTTGCCCCTGGTGACATGGAATAAAGGAGAATATATTTAACTAAGAAACACCACATTTACATGATACCTCAATTTTCTCACAAAAAACACAGATCATACATATCTGATACTCAATGTATATACTGTTTGATTATAGTCCAAGCACTCAGTCATTAGTGTATTACCTTCTACTGTTACACACACGTCACTATACTCTTCAGTTACATGACATTTGCACTGTCGTTATTCGGCATGTGCTATAAACTTTAACTTTAATAATACACGGACACATTTAATACTGTTGGAGTATAACGTCCACAGCTTTATTAATATGAATAAATTAACATATTTAGGGTCATTGTCATAAATTACATTATTTATTATCCCCCCGCACAATCCCCTGACAATGACCCTACCACATGAACAATAATTAACATCAATTACCAATAAACTTGTAAACATCCGGCCTACCAACGAGGCCCCATATCATAATGATAACTGTAGGGGTGTACCCAGACACCCCTACACCCCCAGGTTCGTCGCCACCGAAGAGCTAGAACCTACCAACCATGACACCGTCTGGCCTACTTCAGCCTAGGCCCTGGCCTGTACAGTTCCAATTCCCTGATAACTTCCAACTTAACCACGCCCTGTTCCCGCCGCTGTGACAAAACGGGAAATTCACCTCAAAACAGGGAGGGTGGGTGGGACAACTAACAGGTAAGTGAAGTTCTGATTAAAATGGCCACTCTCTAAGATGGCCGTTATTTTAACCCCCTTTAATCCCGCCCCCAAGCTCCATTAGCTTAAGCCAACCCCTAACTGACTGCACCTGCCCACTCCTGGCTCTGTCAAGGCCCACTCCCCTTACTTCGTTGCTCCATGGGCTTCATGACATTTGCACTGTCGTTATTCGGCATGTGCTATAAACTTTAACTTTAATAATACACGGACACATTTAATACTGTTGGAGTATAACATCCACAGCTTTATTAATATGAATAAATTAACATATTTAGGGTCATTGTCATAAATGACATTATTTATTATCCCCCCGCACAATCCCCTGACAATGACCCTACCACATGAACAATAATTAACATCAATTACCAATAAACTTGTAAACATCCGGCCTACCAACGAGGCCCCATATCATAATGATAACTGTAGGGGTGTAGGACACCCCTACACCCCCAGGTTCGTCGCCACCGAAGAGCTAGAACCTACCAACCATGACACCGTCTGGCCTACTTCAGCCTAGGCCCTGGCCTGTACAGTTCCAATTCCCTGATAACTTCCAACTTAACCACGCCCTGTTCCACCACAGCACTTGTCTTGACCCCTTAAGACCATGTGCGACCCCCACCACACTGAAACAGGGCTCGTGCTATGCCCTCCTGGAACCCCAAGTTCAGCAAGATACACCCCACCTCTGACTGGAGTACTCCATCCCTCCTAAAATAACCTGGCAACATGCCCTCCAGTTCCCGATGCCTCACCACTACTCCTCCCATCCGATTAACAAATACTGCCATAGCTCTATTAATCTTCCCCCTGCATCGTGCCACCGCAGCAGGGTCCCTGGCGTGCCGCCATGTAAAACGAGGCACCATCTCGGACCACACCACCACCACGTCAGGGACCAGCTCCCGTAGCCGATCCATGTCCCTCTTCATTCGTTGCGGAATCAGCCCTAAGTCATTCCCCCCACCGTGCACCACTACCACATCCGGAACCGGACCCCTTGCCACCTTTTGAAATAAAACATTACTCAAGCTCTGCCAACTAAAACCTTGAAAACCAAACCAGGATAAGACCGCCCGTTCCAGAGGAAAGCCCAGTTGTGTTCCTTGTCTCCGAACTGCGGCCCTCTTCTGTGCCCAATATACGAACGAGTGTCCCAGCAACCAAACATTCCAACCTGAAAAGAGACAAAATGAATTACACCGCAGTGCCAGTGTCCCCCAGTCCCGGCCATTTATCCCCTCAAAGCTCCACCATCCCGTCGGGCCTCACATACGAGCGAAACCGCACGGATTCCCACCTTCCAATCCTCTTGATCCGCTCGTCACCCAAACCCAAGCGTGCCGCCTCCGTAGCCGCACCGATACGGAACGAATGCGACCCGAATTGCATGGGCTGCAGGCCCAGCTTCACTAAGCCCAAACGAAAAATCCTAATGAATTGAAACCGTGACAGCGCCGTGCCGTCAGCGTGCAGGAAAAAACAACCACTAACGTTAGGACGGATCCCCAGGTACCCTGATCCGCAGGCCACCGGGCACAACCCTGACCCCGGCAATTCGAACAGCACCACGGAGCAGCCTTTGCCGAAAACATCAGTTTTCGATCGGCCCAACCTAATCTGCACGCGATCACTCTTAACTTCCACATCACCGCGCTGCAAGCCACCAACTCCCGCTTTGTTGGTGCTAACCAGCTCCCCGATCCGAAACGCCCCGAAAAACGCCCAGACAAACGCACCAGAAAAAAGGACCACCTCAAATGGCGAGGAACATAACTCCGGCAACGTTCCCACCAAACCTTGTAAAACCGCAAAAGACACCGGTCTCCTAACGTCCGTCGACGCCTTTCCCCTCCGAAAACCCCGAACCGCTTGCCGAACCAAGAAATGCTTTGTCAAATCTTCCCACCCTTGGAATTTAAACCAGAAAGCCAAGGCGGACATATGCCTGTCCACCATGGCTGGCGAAGCCCCCTTTGCAAACAACCGGCACAACAACCATAGGAAGACATCCAGCCTATGGCCCTCCGAAAGGTCCCCACCTACCTCCTCAACAGTTTCCTCCCATTCCTTCCAAACCTTAGCATAAGATGACCACGTGCTCGGTGCCAATGATTTCTTTATGTATTCCCCAAGCACGATGTCCCGAGTCGCCACATCTCGTCTGGGCAGGCCTGCCCGTATTCCCGTGCCTCTGGAGCCGCTTCCCGAAAACGATCCCACTGAAAACGAGAAAGCGCATCAGCCACCACATTTGAGAATCCCGGAATGTGCCTAGCCCTGAATACTAAATTGGAAGACATGCAGAGGAGCACCAAATGCCGCAGTAGGCATAAGACCGGAAGCGAAGATGCCGACAAACTATTGATTGCCTGCACCACGGCCATATTGTCCGAATAAAACACGACTCGCTTGTTTGCTAATTCAGCTCCCCACAACGCTACCGCAACCACCACAGGGAAGAGTTCCAGAAATGCCAGATTCTTGATCAATGGGCTCGCCTTCCATGCCTCGGCACACCACCGCCCCGAAAAGTAAGCCCCGAACCCCACGCTGCCCGAAGCGTCCGTAAACAGCCCCACTGCTTCCGAAGACACCACTTGCTCCCGAAAAAAGGCCTTGCCATTGAAGTCCCTCAAAAAACGATCCCACACCTCTAAGTCCGCCTTCATGTCCGCGGAAACCCTGACATAGTGTGACGGCATCCGTATCCCGCTCGTCGCCCGCGCCAACCGTCTACAGAAAACCCTCCCCATGGGTATGACCCTGCACGCAAAGTTCAGGCTCCCTACCAGAGACTGTAAGCCCATCAGCGTCACCTTCCGTGCTCTCCCGATTGTGTGAACCAAATCTTTCAGTTTGTGCAACTTGTCCTGTGGTAATCTACATTCCCCGATCTCCGAATCGATCTCCAAACCCAGAAAACTGAGACACGTGGCGGGTCCCACGGTCTTGTCCTCCGCCAAAGGAACCCCCATCGTCTGCGCTACCCATTGGAACAGTATCTGCTTGCACCGGTCTGAGCCTCGAGGGCCGACACATCCGAAGTCGTCCAGGTAGTGCACAACCGTGCCCCCGGCCGATTCCCGTCGCACTACCCATTCCAGAAAAGTGCTAAACTTCTCGAAATAGGCGCACGAGATGGAACAACCCATCGGCAAGCACAGATCCACAAAGAAGCCCCCTTCAAAACAACACCCCAAGAGGTGATGACATGACGGGTGTATGCGAAGCAGCCGAAACGCTGCCTCCACGTCCACCTTCGCCATCAGCGCTCCCCGCCCAGCTCTCCGTACCAACTCGACTGCCCTGTCGAATGATGTGTAAGATACTGAACAGAGTGCTGCGTCGATGTCATCATTCACCGATGACCCTTTAGGATACGATAAGTGATGAATCAACCTGAATTTGCCAGCCTCTTTTTTGGGG